TAGCTCCAGTTAGCTCTAGTTTCAATAGCTCTAGCTCCAGTTAGCTCCAGTTTCAACAGCTCTAGCTCCAGTTTGCGTGGCAGGCACAGCACTTTGTGAACCTCCATGTGCAGATTTCGCGGCAGGCGCAGCACTTTGTAAACCTCCATGTGCAGATTGCGTGGCAGGCGCAGTACTTTGTGAACCTCCATGTGCAGATTTCGTGGCAGGCACAGCACTTTGTGAACCTCCATGCTTCTCCGAACCTCGACGGGGAAGCTCCGCGGAACGACGGTTGCGAGACGGTCTCGGGTCATGGTCGGATCACTCTCGGAATCGTCCCTCCATTGTGATTAGAGTTTTCACTTGTTTCTTGGCGTGCAGATGTCGTGGCAGGCACAGCACTTTGTGAACCTCCATGTGCACATTTCATGGCAGGCGCAGCACTTTGTGAACCTCCATGTGCAGGTTGCGTGGCAGGCGCAGTACTTTGTGAACCTCCATGCTGCTCCGAACCTCGACGGGGAAGCTCGCTGAACGACGGCTGCGAGACGGTCTCGGGTCATGGTCGGACATTCTCGGATCATTCTCGGAATCGTCCCTCCATTGTGATTAGAGTTTTCACTTGTTTCTTGAAGTGCAGCTTTCGTGGCAGGCACAGCACTTTGTGAATCTCCATGCGCAGATTTCGTGGCAGGCGCAGCACTTTGTGAACCTCCATGTGCAGATTTCGTGGCAGGCACAGCACTTTGTGAACCTCCATGTGCAGATTTCGTGGCAGGTGCAGCACTGTGTGAACCTCGAGGTGCTGATTTCGTGGCAGTTGCAGCACTTTGTGAACCTCCATGCGCAGATTTCGTGGCAGGCGCAGCACTTTGTGAACCTCCATGTGCAGATTCCGTGGCAGGCGCAGCACTTTGTGAACCTCCTTGCGCAGATATCGTGGCATGCACAGCACTTTGTGAACCTCCATGTGCAGATTTCGTGGCAGGCACAGCATCAGTGGAGCTGGAAGCTGAGAACTGGCGACTTTGTAGTACAACTTTAGTACGCGGAGTCTGCGGAGCTGGAAGATGAGAACTGGCGACTTTGTGGTACAACTTTAGTACGCGGAGCAATCTGTGGAGCTGGAAGATGAGAACTGGCGACTTTGTAGTGCAACTTTAGTACGCGGAGTATCTGGGGATCTGGAAGATGAGAACTGGCGACTTTCTAGTACAACTTCAGTACGCGGAGGAATCTGTGGAGCTGGAAGCTGAGAACTGGTGACTTTGTACTACAACTTTAGTACGCGGAGTAGGCTGTGGAGCTGGAAGCTGAGAACTGGTGACTTTGTAGTACAACTTTAGTACGCGGAGCATCTGGGGAGCTGGAAGATGAGAACTGGCGACTTTGTAGTACAACTTTAGTACGCGGAGTATCTGGGGAGCTGGAAGATGTGCGAACTGGCGACTTTCTAGTACAACTGTACAACTTTAGTACGCGGAGCAATCTGTGGAGCTGGAAGCTGAGAACTGGTGACTTTGTAGTACAACTTTAGTACGCGGAGTATCTGGGGAGCTGGAAGATGAGAACTGGCGACTTTGTAGTACAACTTTAGTACGCGGAGTATCTGTGGAGCTGGAAGATGAGAACTGGCGACTTTCTAGTGCAACTTTAGTACGCGGGGCAATCTGTGGAGCTGGAAGCTGAGAACTGGCGACTTTGTACTACAACTTTAGTACGCGGAGTATCTGGGGAGCTGGAAGCTGAGAACTGGCGACTTTGTAGTACAACTTTAGTACGCGGAGTAGCTGGGGAGCTGGAAGATGAGAACTGGCGACTTTGTAGTACAACTTTAGCACGCGGCTGAGTCATCTCTATTCTGTATTTTGTCAAATGCATGAACAACGTTTTTTCCTGCAAGACAGTTGACGGTGGCTGCTTCGCTTTCGCTCCATTGGTCGGTTCCAACTTGTTTTGTCAAAGAACATCGCAGCTCGGCGAATCAGCCTGCCACATGCCCATTTCCTTTTGGCTTATTCTTTTGGAAACTTCCGCCGCCGGCTTGGCCGGGAACTACTTGTACTCAATTGTTAGTCATTTAATGTAATTTACACTCCCTGAAATCATCATGGAAGCAGAACTAGGCCCCTAGGCCCCTGGAAGACTATTATCCTCTACTTCCAGCAGGTTTGCTCAGCTTCCATGATTGTCCAAGTCAAGGTACCCAGAAACATTCAGAAATCACAGTAGGGAGGTGCTGGCACATGCGGGATTCAACGCATGTGACATTCGACTTGCATGGTCGACTTGTCCTTTTCCGCTTTCATCGCAAGACGTGTTTGCGGCACAGTTTCAAGCTGTGGCCAGTGTGACACTGGAGCTGCGACGTGCTCGTTCCGAGGAATGGCTTTGATAGCATTAACATCACCAAGTTGGATGCAACTTAGCTTGAGTCTTTCTTTGGTTTCATGCCACCCGTTTTATGGTTGGGCCGGTTGGGATGTCTTCAGACTCAATCATCTTCATGTTAACTAAATATGATTAAATATGCCCTGGGGTTCCAACCACCTCCCGGAAGGTGCTTGGGGGTCTAACTACCGAGGATGTGGGCCAGGAACCCAAACAGGATTGATCCGGTGCCCCAATCGCCTCGGGCGGGGCGGTTCCCGAGCCGAGCCAACCTCCGCTCTGGTCCGCTGTTCCGAGCTTCAGACCCGAGCGCCTTCAGCGGCGGAAGGCGGAGTGGTTCAGGGAGCTGTACTCCCTGGAACTCACATGGTTAAATGGAGAATGGGCCCGAGTTCGGAAGACCATGAAATCCACTACAAACAAGTGGTTTTTCACTTCCATGTTAGTTCCAGGGAGAGAGAGAGAGTAACTAAGGAAACCGTCCGCGAACAGATTTGCATCGCTTTCACAGGCTGGGCAGCCCATGGTTTTTCGGTTCAGGGAAGATCATGGAAGATTCTTCTTTGCAATGAGTATTTGAGATGGCTTTCCAGTGGAAAATATCAAAGCTGTTGGGAAAACTTGGTTGAAGGAAAACCCCTACAAAATCCAAGTAGTTCCTTAGAAGGTAATTAAATCCTCCAAGCCTACATGAGAGTGTCTCCAATCACCCTCTCAGAAGGTTTTTCCGCATAGGGTACAACATTTGAGGGTCCCAAAGCCACGGTCACCGGCCACTGAGGTCCTCACCGGCCTCAAACAGTTGCGAGTCGCCATTGCGTACCGCAACAAGCGCATGACAGAGGCCGCGCACCCAGACGGGAGGCCTATAGTTGCGGTTGTTCATCAAGGCTTTGCACAAATTGTGCACTTGTTTTGCAATGCTTTGCAAGACCAAGACAGCTAAAATATATGGGCCAAATATCGTTGTATGGCTATGTACTTTCTGAAGCGTGTACACGAACCACCTAGTCGGCACGGCCTCTCCGACTCTTTCGCGCATGGACCAAACGTCTTTGGGACGACCGGTTGTGGACGAACATGGGCTGCAGGTGAGGTTACCTTGTGGCTACTTCCCGTCACATTTGGAAGACCTGAAGGAGGTGGTATGCCACCTGGAAGAAAAGATGCAAAAAGGCGGCACGGTGCTACCTTTGTGGGACGATCTCGAGGGGGGCGGATGGGACTTTGAGTTCTGCCTTAGTGTCTTTCGGTGCCCAACATTTTTTGGTCTGCAATTTTACAGGCTTCACGTTGTATCACGTTCGTCGATCTCCTGTGATCATGCGATATGTTTGGATGTGTTGCGTTGTTGAACCACTTGCAGATGGTTGCTCCCATCATCGACCGAGCATCGACTCGCCTTCACACCTAAGGCGAATATGAGACCCTCGAAGGCTGGAGCGAGGATATCTCAACGTGCACCCCTTGGCAGGTCGCCTCTCGAGATGACGCCAAAACAGAAAGATCAGAAAGCAAAAGGACCTAAAAGGACCAAATACAGCCTTTGACCAGATCCTCCATATCCTGTTTAAGTGCTGATGTTTGTTTGAGCAACTTACCAATCTCAGCAAACAGCATCCAGATTGATGCCACTTTGTGAGTCCTTAGATGAACACGGATGCTGGATACAGAGGTTATTGGGATTCTCCACTGTCGGGTGGGCCAAAGAAAAGAGTAGTTAAAACATGTTATATGACACTACACAACGGCAGCTACCATGGCAATGGAGTGCTTTCGATGAAATCCGATCAAATTGATTCTACTTTGGCCAAGAAATCCTTCCTCAAGACTGACATCGGACTGCTTGAGGCAGTTCCTGGTGAAGGGGTTCTTCACCGAGCGAGTCTTCACCGGGCTGCGCCGAGGTGCAGTCATTTCAAAGAGCTGCCCCTGAATGCCAAGAAGTACGTCCTCAGGACAGCTGAGGCTGTGGCGCGAGTTCCAACAAGCTTAACAGGCTTAACAGGCCAGCTTAACAGGCTTAAAAGGCTTAACAGGCTTAACGTACACCGGACCTGACATGGTCAAGCTCAACAGGCTTAGACAGTATCAGCTGTTCTGCTTGACGCGGAGCCGCAAGCAAGCAAGCAAGCAAGCAAACAAGCATGGACGCAGTGACGCGGTCGATGTGAGGTGTTTGCAAACGGAGCATGAACAAAAATCAGCCAAAGTTTGTAGAGCACATGCCGCACCCGAAAGCGTGTTGAACTTCAAAAGTTTGGCAAGAGCTGAAACATTGAGCAGTTATGCTGAGCCAGCTACTGGATATGTCAAGCAATAACCTGCATGATGCGTCACATGTTACAAGAGCATTGCAAGCAGCAAGAGCAAAGGTGCAATGCAAGAGGTGTGTGTCCCACAAGAAGAGTCCACTTAGTATGGTGAATATATGATATACCATGGGCATCAAGTAGAAACACATGCTGGGCCTAGACTAGACTACGTACGAAAGATGTGACACCTCGTGACTGGATTTGAAGCTTTGGTGGGATTTACCTAAAACAATTGGCCACGGCACTGAACGGCTTGCCCAAAAGTTGATAAACCCAAGCAGCCCTCGTGCTACAACTAAATGAAGACAGCCTATGCACTTACCGAATCTCCCATGTTTTACGCAATTACGCGCTGCATGTCTTGTTTTTTCTCAGAAGTGAATAGTGCTTTGATTGTTTATACATGTTTATACACTATGTTTAGATCATTGTTCATGTACAAAAGAAGCTATGCAGTGTTCCTCCTGGGTTACTCCTTTTTCCCGAAAGCATTGCGAAGGGTTCTTCCGGAAAATCACTCCAACACGTACACTGCTATACTTACACTTGAACACTTACACTTCTATACTTACAATGGCACAGAAGTATCCAAGTGAAAGTTTGCAAGTGAAAGTATGCAAGGGTAAGTATCCCAGTGCAAGTATGCAAGTGTAAGTATCCCAGTGTAAGCATGCAAGTGTAAGTATGCAAGTGTGAGTATGAAAACTTTCACGGGAGATATCCTAATGAAAAACATTCCCCCACTTTATAAATTCTCTTTAAAGGCGGAGGGTGGGACGAACAGCGTCAACCGAAAATGCAACCCTCTGCGGAGATCGTGCGTGTGGAGTGCGCAAATGCAGGCGAGAGCCGCGATTTGTCCTGGACGCGCGCAACCCTCTGCGGAGATCGCGCGAGAGTGCGATTTGTCCCATGCGCGCGCAACCCTCTGCGGAGATCGTGCGTGTCGAGTGCACGAAATGCAGGCGAGAGTGCGATTTGTCCGTTCGGAGATCGTGCGTGTCGAGTGTGCGAAATGCAGGCGAGAGTGCGTTTTGGAATGTTTTGGAGACTTGCCGCCTCACTTTTGGAGGAAGTCTCGTACGAAACGCTCGCTTTGGAGACTTGCCGCTTCACTTTTGGAGGAAGTCTCGTACGAAGCGCTCGTTTTGGAGACTTGCCGCTTCACTTTTGGAGGAAGTCTCGTACGAAACGCTCGTTTTGGAGACTTGCCGCTTGACTTTTGGAGGAAGTCTCGCACGAAGTGCGCGTTTTGGAGACTCGGCGCTTCACTTTTGGAGGAAGTCTCGTACGAAGCGCTCGTTTTGGAGACTTGGCACTGCACTTGTGGAGCTGGACTCAGACCTGGCCAGTTCGTAGTGCAAATGTAGGGCGACAAGAAGCTTTTTGGAGCTGGACTCACAAGTGGCCAGTTTGTAGTGCAAATGTAGTACGGGAAAGAGCTTTTCGGAGCTGGAGTCAATCCCCCTTGGTTGTGCCATACTGAAATCCTAGACGTAGACGTGACTATTTCAGAAATAAAAAAACTAGCGAAAAAGTTCGCTGATAAGGAAGTCAGGTAGGACCCAGGAAAAAACAACAAGAAATGAGGCTCTTTTGAAATCCTTTTGCTTAGGGTAGGGCGCCAGGATTCCAAAAACACGTAGGACTACAGGATTTCACTAAAATTGTAGGATTTCACAAGGTAGAGATGCTGGGGTTGTGCTAAGACTTTAGATATTCTAGAGATACTGGAGAGGACGCTTTTTGCTGTGGCTGTGCTTGTGCATTTGCTTTTTGCAGCATTTATCTGCTCGGCTGATAGATACACATGCTGTATATACAACATAAGATTGCAATCAATTTAATCAAATGATGGCTTGCGTATGGGGCCATGTAACCATTTGTTTTTAAATGTAAACAATGGTACAGTCGCATTTTTTGGAGTGGTAGCTGACAGAGAATTCGGGCCATGTCTTTGCAAACACCAGAGTCAAACAACGATATCCGACGATATCGAAAAATAACGAAAAAGTGCCAAAATAGACTAAATTTAGTCTTCGGGGATGATTTTCTTTGATTTTCGAGAACATGAATGCGACGATATGGGACGATATCCGACGATATCGAAAAATCACAAAAAATGCCAAAATGCCAAAAAATGCGCTCACTGCTTGAGTATTAGGTAGATACCCAGGATTTTACTAAACTAAACGTTTGATCAGCTTGGACTCCTTGTTTTTTCCTTGGTTCCCTACCCCCTGAACACACGTCGGTCCAAAGGATTTTACAAAAAGCACTTTTTGGGAAAAAGACCTAGGGCACCAAGGAAAAAATACAAAGTCACCTTGGATCAGTAGGATTTTAATACGTAAAATCCTGGGGATCTACGTTAGCGGTCAGTACGAAGGGGGATTGGAGTCAGAAGTGGCCAGTTTGTAGTACAAATGTAGTGCGGGAAAGAGCTTTTCGGAGCTGGACTCAGAAGTGGCCAGTTTGTAGTACAAAAGTAGTACGGGAAAGAGCTTTTTGGAGCTGGACTCAGAAGTGGCGAGAGCCTTTCAGATGGACTCAGAAGTGGCCAGTTTGTAGCACAAATGTAGTACGGGAAAGAGCGTTTTGGAGCTGGACTCAGAAGTGGCCAGGTTGTAGTACAAAAGTAGTACGGGAAAGGGCCTTGCAGAGCTGGAGCGAGAAGTGTGGCCAAAGTACGTTCGTGATGTCGCAGTGCCATTGGGATTTGCGCGGCTTTGGTGGGAAGTGTGTTTGCGTGGCGCCGTGCCACGGGTAGCGCAAAGCATGCTGGTGTAAACGCGGCGTGTGGCTGGTGAGCGGGATCATTGGCGGTTTCATGTGATATGTGTGCTTCTAGTGTATGGACAGGCCATGTGGCCAAAGTACGTTCGTGATATCGCAGTGCCATTGGGATTTGCGCGGCCTTGGTGGGAAGTGCGTTTGCGTGGCGCCGTGCCACTGGGGAGCGCGAAACATGCTGTCGTAAACGCGGCGTGTCACTGGTGAGCGGGATCAGTGGCGGTATCGCGTGATATGTTTGCTTCTAGTGTGTGGTGGCCAAAGTACGTTCGTGATGTCGCTGTGCCATTGGGGTTTGTGCGGCCTTGGTGGGAAGTGCGTTTGCGTGGAGCCGTGCCACTGGGGAGCGCGAAACATGCAGGCGTAAACGCGGCGTGTCGCTGGTGAGCGGGATCATTGGCGGCATCGTGTGTGATATGTTTGCTTCTAGTGTGTGGACAGACCGTGTGGCCAAAGTACGTTTGTGATGTCGCTGTGCCATTGGGATTTGCGCGGCCTTGGTGGGAAGTGCGTTTGCGTGGCGCCGTGCCACTGGGGAGCGCGAAACATGCTGGCGTAAACGCAGCGTGTCTCTGGTGAGCGGGATGATTAGGGGTATCGTGTGATATGTTTGCTTCTAGTGTGTGGACAGACCTTGTGGCCAAAGTACGTTCATGATGTCGCAGTGCCATGGGGATTTGCGCGGCCCTGGTGGAAAATTCATTTGCGTGGCGCCGTGCCACTGGGGAGCGCGAAACATGCTGGCGTAAACGCGGCGTGTCGCTGGTGAGCGGGATCATTGTGGTATCAAGAGTGTCCCAAAAGAGTGCCCCGCAGGAGCTTCCTGCAAGAGTGACCCACAAGAGTGTCCTACAAGACGGCGTGTCGCTGGTGAGAGGGATGATTGGTGGTATTATGTGATATGTTTGCTTCTAGTATGTGGCGGACCTCTTCAGCGTTGTGCTGACACAGCGAGAAATGCACCAAGGTTGGCGCTCCTGAGCCACAACGTTGCGCTGCCGTTTCGTCTGCACATCGACGTCTACACCCCCTCACCTCTGTACACACACAGACATAGTTACACACGTAGACACACACAGAGACCCACACACTTACTCAACACACTAGACTTAACACTTCACACTTAACACCTAACACACAACTTCACACGTGGTGAAAAATGCTTTCGGGCCACTCGTCGTCTAGTTTCCTTCTCGGTTGAAAGTTATACAGTATTCTAAGTAGGGTAGTTGTTTTGCAAACCCTAAAGGATTTGGATAAAACCTGGTGTGTTTCCCCTATTTGTACCAGCTAAAACAGTATCTAATAGATCAAGTCAAGTCTTTGTGCCTCCATGGAGTCCAATCTGAGCAGAGTGCCGAGCAAATGTTCACTTCCAGGATTCAAGAATTGCTGGGCATTCCAGTTTCCTGGGTTGGAGTGCCTTGGCCAATGCACTGCATGGCCTTTGTATGGCTGAGTATGTCGTTGTTGCTGTCCATTGTGAAGGATATCCCTAAAAGAAACCAAAAACAGATGCTCCCTGGGAGTTTCCACTCAATGCCTTCACTGGTCCCTGACTTCATTTTGCCCATTAGGGTTGGTACATGGACTTCTTGAGGTCTCCCTGTGGAACGCAGACGACCCTGTACAGAAGGGAGGAACCCTTCGCCTTCGTGTGCGCGAGAGGTAGAAGAGGTTTTCCGATTTAAAAGGAGGGTTACGGATGCTGTTTATGAAAATGTTGCAAGACCAATCTTCTAAAGCTCCACTGTCCTTGATTGCGGCTTTGCTGGTCTCCCTTATTTGTTTTCACGGGTTGGGTACCTATGGGTACCTACAACTTGACTTCACAGCCTAAAAATCCAGAAATTAACCAGTTTATAGACCTTTGAGGTTGGAAACAGCTGAACAACTCCGACTCCCGAAGATGAAACGCATCGATTCAAGAAATCCAACGCCGACTCCTTCGCTGATATGGTAAGGCAGTGTTTTGTTGATTTGAACACTGACCTTTCTATGTAATGTTGGCATCCGTGCTTTCGGTGGTTCTTGGCTCTTTTGTTCTTTCGTTGCTAACTTTGGAGCGTATCTTGTGGTTTCTATCTTGGTGTTTCTTTTTGTGGCTGAGTGGCCAATTTGTTTGCGCTGTGTGCAGGAATTGTTCTCCTTGCTCCATCGAAGAGCAGAACTCAAACTTGGATCAGATGTTCATACGGATTCTTTGGGTGAGGTGGCCCTCCCCGTCCTTCCTGGGCTTCGTAACTTCTTGGCTGTTCACTTGGTGGGCTTCCTGGGCTTCGTTTGGGCCCTTGGGCGTCTTGGCTTTTCGTTCCACCTGAATCCCTCACCTCCCTGGTCGACCAGTTCTGAGGGTTCCCTCACGATGTTCTGCGGTCACCTCTGGCTCCGTTCGATCCTGGTTCCATTCGGTCGAACCAAGTCGTTGCGGTCCTTTTCTCAGGCTCTCAGGCTGGTCCTTCCCTGGTCATCCCCTGATCGCTTGGTCTTTTGGTCCCCTTGGGTCCCCTATTTGGGTCTCCTTGGGTCCCCGTGCGCCTCAGTGCGCCCCAGCGTCTCTCTCTCTCTCTCTCTCACCAGCAACTCTCCTTAAAAGAGAACATAGAGGACACATCACGAGAACATATTATTTCCTTTTTGGGGGGGGAGAGGTGCTGGGATGTATATTTGGAGATGAGTTTTTGGGACAGCCCGGCCATACGATTTGCACGTAGTAAGAGCGGTCCCAGGTACTTTTGCTCATACCAGGCAACTACTCAGCTGCCGCATCAGAACCACTGATCAACACGGACCTACCTACCCTAGCCCATCAAGTCGTGAAGCCATGTGTTGGTTGAGGATGTGTGAGGCGTTTCAGGCAGACAAAAGTTTCCAATCAAACAACAGAGTCTGCTGAGTCAAATCGAGTCCCAGGAAAGATCCCTTGTTTTCACTAGCGATGGCCTCCAACCTACCAGCGATGGCCTCCAACCTATATACTAGCGATGGCCTCCAACCTAGTAGCCATGGTGTCCAACCTACTAGTGATGGCCTCCAACCTAATTGGCCTCCAACCTACCAGCGATGGCCCCAACTTACTAGCGATGGCCTCCAACCTATTAGCGATGGCCTCCAACCTACCAGCGATGGCCTCCAACTTACTAGCGATGGCCTCCAACCTAGTAGCGATGACCTCCAACCTAACAGCGATGGCCTCCAACCTGATAGCGATGGGCTGCAACCTATAGTAGCTTCTTGTTACTATAGTAGTAATGCCCTTGTTACTAGTAGCGCTGCCCTCCAATCTGGCAGATGCACAATGCGCACTCACCTCCCTGCCTAACAGTGGTCAACACCCAGCCGTCACAGGTCTTGTGTTCCTTCCTCAGGTCGGTCCGGACCGCGAAAGTATGTTTCCAGTTCGGATCTCAGAATGCTCAGACCAGGCGTGACAGACATCCAATGACACAAATTCAACCTCTTCCAGGGTGTTCTGCATGGAGCCAGGTCGTTCTTTTTTTCAACGAGAGCCAGGTCCCTCAAGTCCACTGGTCCACGAATTCGAGAGCGAATTAAGTGATTCGGATTCGAGAACGGACCTTGCCTAAAGATGCGCGTCCAGACCTAGCAGGGGTCGAAGCCTCTATGACAGGGGTTTGGGGCCCCTCAAAACTCAAAACCCCTTGTTTTTGAGGCTCCGAACAAGAGCTGTAACCTCGTTCATACTTTCAGGCTACCAGTGGTCACTTGCCTTTGCAGTGCTTTATTTGGAAGCAATTCCTCGCACCTTCCATCCATCTAAAGGTGGACGTTTACTGAAGCTTAATGAGAGGATTGGACAATATCTATGGTTTGGGTCGGAACCCGGAACCCCCCGAATGGAGTTGGAGCTCATACGGTTTGGGCTCACCACCTCATCGCCCCAACCCCCCAACCCCCCCGTCCTGGGTCGCTCCGTTCCGATGCGTTCCCCGCACCTCAGGTGGATGAGGCCATCGTCCGCCCGGATGGTTCGATCTCGGCCGCGGCGCCCAGTGCTCTTCTTCTCTTCCGAAGAGCGATGCAAAGGCCATCGTCATTCCCCATAGATGTGAGATGACCGATGAGGCCATCGATTTATTCACTAATAAGCAATATGTCGTGTTGCCTATATAAATTGAACAGTTCAACATATATAGTTGAAAAACACATGAACATAACATGTCAACTTGTTAAACATATCTTGTCACTATTCAGATGCAGAAGTTGGTAAACCTTCCTTGTTCAGCACAATGCCTTGCTGCGTGCGGCGCAGACTTGCTCTCCTGCGCGGAATGCGCTCGCCGAGGCATCTCCAAACTTTCCCTCTAGCCCAATGAGCAGCTTGGGACAAAGCAGCCGGTGAGATTCCATGATCGAAGACTCCAGACATGACCTCTTTGGGACTGGAATAGACTCCTGCCTGCGGACTCCTGCCTCCTGCCTGACCCTGAATTCAACCACCCCAATGTAGGATATGTGCCAGTCCGGAGTCTTTGGGATTACAACCTGAAGAAGAATACCGACTGGAATCCACAGAAGCACGGAAACGTGCTGGTAGTAAGGCACTGCTATTGGGCTGGTAGGGATCCTGAAATGGCTGGTATTGCAGCTAATTTTGAACTGTTGGACGTTACACAATGTTACAATTGCAGAGCTGGATGTCTAATGAGAGGGTAGTATACACCTCAGTCTTAATATGTCTTATATAATTAGTTGTTCTTCAACAGCCTCATTTGAGTCGCGTTCCAGACTATCATGTTTTTTTGCACCGTTGCAAGGGTGCTTCATCGAAGACTAGGATTGCAGCTGACGTCCAAACCAACGATAGCCCAACGACCCAACTGTTATACAATGTATATGTATATAATGCGTCCTTGGATGTCAATGTGTGAGCTCAGCAAACGCCTGCAAAACGAGACCTACAGTACACCGACGCTGTATGTGCGAATGATCCCACCAAATCTCACCCTAAAACCATTATATGGTTTTAACTTAGTTGAATAATAGACAAGCAACTCACTTGTCATTTGAACATATGTGAATTGGGGTGCGAACAGTTGTCAACTGTTCTAGCTTCGATGGCCTTTTCTTCTATTTTGGACCTGGCATCCCTCCGTTCTCGTCTTTTGTCAGGAGGGGCAATGAGCCCGCGTGGTCCGAGTCCCACCATGTGAGATGCGCGGTCCGTACTCGTTTGGGCGCTGGGCTTACAGCAGATCGAAAAGTACACGGTTGCATCATTTGAGACTCTAAATCCCATAGGAAATCTATATATATATATATATAGGTTGCGGGCAAATCATTTGGCTGCAAGGCAAAGATCTAGTTTTGCCAAAGTTTATGTTTTGAGAACATTTTCTGAACACTTGGAAGCCGCCGGGGACCATGTAAGTTAGCGGTCGCTTTTCGCGTGTTTTACCTAAATTGATCGTAAAACATCTAAAATCATCTAAATGCAAGGTAAATATTCAGTCCCCTGCCCTGTTGGAGTATCTTAATACACACACATTTGACCGCTGACCTGTTCATCTCAAGTTGATGTGCGCCTTTCGAGAACCTCTACAGTTTGGTGAAAAGATGTAAACATTGAAAGAAAGCAACTCGCGCGAGCGTGTTGGACATGTGTTGGCAGGGGACCTGTGTGCACTTCTAGAGTCTAGAGCATGACAAAATTGGTGGCCAGGAAAATGGTGGATCCTTTGTCAAAAGTGGGGATGTCTCAACAAGTACAAACATCTACCTTTTTTATATGCAACTTATTGGAGCACAGTGAAGAACCTGACGTATGAACGTTGGCTGAAGAGACAGTGCAGATCACAAGCGCCGTAGGACAGAACCGCCCTATGGAACTAGGTAGGCAGACTTTATGAAGTCTTCATGACCCCTACTGTTTCCTTGCTCCGTTCGTAGCGTCCGATCGCTCCATTCGTAGCGATGCCAGGAGCCCCGAGTAAGTAGCTTTCTCATGATCAGATAGGAACCATTGAGAGCCAGGCTTCCACGTATCCAACACATGGTAAACACGCAGAGCCGCCATGGTTGGATCCTGGGGAGCCAATGCCATGTAGACTCCTGATAATTATATTTCACTCCCCCCTTATGAAGAGGATGTTCCAATTCAAACGGGTGTTTTTTTCAAGGCAGTAAACTTTTGCAGGATCAAGGTTTCATTTCACTGTGACTGTATATAAACATTTGTGCTTGCTCATGACCTGGAGCTATCTGGAGCTAAACATCTCAATTCGAAGTATGAACAGCTATAGCATCATGTAAGCCGTAAGCCAATCTTTTTCTGGTTTTCTCTTGTGCAGGGACTCCTGCAGTGTCCCGAGCGTCGGGTGTTGAAGTTCAAATCATCAAGAAATCACTTCAGAATCCGTGGAGAAAGCAGTTGTGGATGCCAAGTGCTGGTTTGAGAAAGTCCAACTGGCAGTGTCCCTGAAGGAATTTAGACTCCCTGGAATCAAGACCCGGAACGAAGTGCCGAGTGGAACAATCCTCCGTGAATGATTCAAAGTCCATTGGTGTTTGGCGCGCAACCCACAAAACAACTTCATTCCTAGTGACCCACAAAACAACTTCATTCCTACTACACATCCACGATCCGCGCTGTTTGGGTTGATGAACTTCATACTATTCAAGCTAAGCTTGAGGGATGCAACCATTCCCAGATGACAACCATTTGACCAATGAAGCCTCCTCCTTCTTTTCGGGGGGTGAGATCCACTGGATCGGCAGGTAGTAGGTAGGATCCACTTGGAGTGTTGGTCATTCGGTGCTTGGCTGCTCGGCGTCATGTGGTCCGGTTTTTTCCAGTTGTGGGCACTCAAGGTGCTCAACGTGTCTCAAGAACACCAGATCTCAGATCACATCTATATCTTATATCACTCATCCCTCCTTCTGCCCTATCAAATAGATCGAGATTTGCCTGAAGCAAGCGGATCCTTCATAGTCCGCTCCTCTCCATCCACTCCGTCCACTCCATGACCAACTGTTCTCCACTTCAGCACCCGAGGGATTCGGGAGGATTCGCTCGGTGGGGATCGAGCCGGCGCTCGGGGACCCCCGATGAATCGCGGCGAAGAAAAAGGGCGGCCGACCGATGGGGGGAGAGCTGGGCGACCGATGTTGGAATATGTCGACATGTTGTTGAATCATGTTGAAAGGTTGAAAGCAAGAAAGGCAGCAGATCCAAACATATTCCAAAACTAGATCCAATAATATCTGATATATTTTTTTTGCATACTATATAGTTAAATATATTGTATCATATGAATATACATATATATATATATATTAGTTAAATACAGTGTGTATATATATATATATATGTCCAATGAATCAATCAGTCCTTTGCCTCGAAGGCAATGGACGAAACCACGATTCAGGGGAGGTATGGACTTGAAAACCTGCAATGTTCACTTGCGTCGGTCCCATCAGTCGTGTTTGAGATATGGTGGGAAACGGTTTGAGATTGGCATCGACGGTTTCGAGACACAAAGGCCGCGTGTTTTTTCTGTGTTCTTCTCGAAACCATCCAACATACCTGGAGATCCCATCTGAAGATATTCATAATTTGTGTGGGACATGTCGCCTAAATCAACCAGATGGATCCAAGCGGAATTTCCTGGAGTAACGTAGCCGCTGGATCCCGAGAGATTCGACGTTGTCTCTACACATCGTTCTGTGATGTGTGTTTCTTTCCGACCTGATGTTTTGCTCGATGCTCCTCGACGTATGCTCATGCTAGTACTCGCTCGCGACTCCGCTCGCCGCTCCGCGAAAGCATGCCAGGCTTTTCTCCGACTTTTGGTGCAGGAGTTGGCCGAGTCCCAACTGAAGTCTTTGAGAGGTGGGATCCGGGGGTACCGGGATACCATGTTCAATACCATACCACCAATATGAATATCTATGACCTTGGAGTGTTGAAGAAGATTTCCTGGAGTTTTGCTTGGATTTCCGCCTTGGGATCTTGCTCAAGAGCGCTCAGGCTGGGCACCCATCCATCTCCCAGACACTCCATGGCACTGGCATATATAGTATAATATATATATATACCCCCCCACCAACACACACCTTTTGCGTTGAGAATGACAGACAATATGTTAACATAGGATTAAGTAACCTTACGCAATTATTCAAACCATATCAAGCCCATTTCGACCCCTTCCACATTGGCCTCCCTCTAATAATTGTGCTCTGGGCAGACAAGCTTCCCCTATTAGTCAAGCCCATTTGCCACCAGAACATTGTAAATATGATATGGTTTATTGATAAACTATATATTATGCTGCTGAATTACCTTCTTTGCAGTTACAGTAGTATCAAAGATCTTCCTACTACTGTAAGTGAAGCTGATCCATAGTGAAGCTGATCTTCCGCCCTTTTCACATGCCATCTGCATGGAATCATTCCAGCTGGTGCTGGTGTTTCATCTTTTTGGATGCTGGTGTCTTCATGATCGCATCTTGATCATTCTCACCACCATCCCTCAGCTGCCTCAATCTGCTCACCCAACCTTCTGATTGCTTCTCCTGAAGGCTTATGCTACCAACCATTCTGATCACCAACGTTCCCCCAAGCAACATTTGTGCACAACCACTAAAAACTCTCTAGCAAAATTCTATCAAACTCTTAAGGTGTTCAAGCTCACAAAGGGCGCCCCTCACACAGGCCCTACCCCCTCTGATAGTGGGCGAAAACCCAACCCTTTCCCAGACACGACCTGTTTGGGACTGCCATATTGGCCCCATTGACCCCCCTGGCACCACCCTAAACCATGTTGGAAACCCGGGCCCAGACTCTTAGAGCACTCATCATCCGATCAAACAAACGGCCGAATGACACGGACTTGGCCTTGATCATGTTACCTTCCGATCTGTGCGAGGTTTCTTCCTGCGGTTAGACTGCGACTCCGACGGTGTCCTATCAGCTTCAGACTTGGGGACAGGCAGGGACAGCAGCTCCACCTGAACGAACTTTGGTCACCCTCACGCGGCATCATGTTGGAAATAATTGTGTGTGCCAATGTTGCCCTTGTTGTTTCCGGCTCAAGCACGAAACACAACTCCCTAGTTCTTCGAACGCCCGCAGAATTCAAGATCCCTTTGTCCGAGGTCTTGGGGGAGATCTCATGAGTTTGTTTAATCGATTTGAATTATGGATGATGATGCCCTGGGGCTCCAACCACCTCCTGAGAAGGTGGTTGGGGTTGGGGTAGGTTTGGGAGGTCTATATAACTACCTTTTGAGGATGTGGGCCAGGAGCCCTACAGGGTTGTTCACGCTCGATGCTTCAGAAAGTCTTCCAACGGTATGAAGAATCCACGGATTTCTTTGCTGTTTCTTTGGCGCAGAAAAACTTGCACGCCTGAAAGGGGACTCTTCCTGGGCGCAGCGTTGTCCTGGGCGTTTTGGAGGGAACAGAAGGTACCGTGCATCCGTGCGGAAGCATCCAGCATCCGTGTTTACACCAAGGTACCCCATGGTACCCCAAAGAATCCATGGGACTGGAATAGTTGCAGATGCGAACAGAAATTGTTAGAATTTACCCAGACGCTCCATGCCTACATTGGGGTGGTTAATGTAGGCATACATGGAGTGTTTGGGTTATGTCCAAGACTCCAAGAACTCATATTCGATCTTTGCTACCCCTTCAAATTGGGTGGTATTTAAGATGTGAGTCTGTCAGAGTAACTCTTCCAGGTCCGGTCTCATCCTTTGAAGGACTGGACGGGTGCAGCCAACCCGCGGTTTCGCTCCGCTTTAGACGAAGGTGATGGAGAAGACGAGATGAGGTGCGTGACCGGGGAAGTTTGGAGAACCACTTGAGTTGGAATTGATGCATGTTCATGCCGAGAGCATCTCACATATTTCGCAGGTAAATATCCTTGAATATCGTCCTTTTTTGTCCAGAAATGATGTCAACGAACATGTGAAGACCCATCGACTTCTCCCGGCCACGGGGCCGAGGGGTGAGGTAATGTCTGGCCGGTGGGTTTAGAGGTTCGATAGTACGGGGCACGGCCCCCCCAAAGATGTGTTTCTAATATGGCCTAGATGCTCCAAACGGCCCTTGGTCCCTCAAAACCTAGGGATTTGAGACCCCAGACCCCTCCATATGAGGGTCCATAAGCGTTTGGGGGGTTGATATAAACCACCGAACTTGGGGTAACTTGTGCCATCGAGCCTTTGAAACCACTAATATTTAGTAGGTTTAGTTGGTGTAGTCGGAGAG